TATCAAGCTTCCCTTGCCGATGCAATCAGCTGTGACCCACCACAAAACTCTTTAAGTTCATGCAGAAGAACATGATCGCTTCGGGACAGTTCGGCTGTGGTCTTACTCAGCACCCTTTAAAGGCTTGTATCTCCACGCGCTCCGAATCTATTTGACCGCCGCAGAAATATTCCAGAGGAGTCTAATCATAACGAAGTGCGCCGTTCTGTCAAGCGGCAGCTCAAACAAAGCCTAGGCAGTGACCGCAAAACCTGGTGGTTAACGTGTTTCGGAAATAGAGGCGCTGTCCTTTCTGGAAATACTCGCAAGCTCTTCCAGCTCAATCGTTCCACTGGACACAGAAAGCGCGTTTCCAGTGTAACTATTTGCGTAACTGACAGTTTGCAGATTGCTAACCTACACAGACGCTGGGATCGATGGCCCGAACATTTTCATTCGCAGTTCAGTTGACTTTCACCGCCCACTTCTATACCCTGCGAACCCAGCTGTCTACTCTGGGTCGTTACACTGGACCCACCCAATGAAGCAGAAATTTGTTTTGCGACTCGACATTTGAAGCGATTCAAGGCTACCGGCTCAGACTGACTACCTCCGGAGCTGTTCAACTATAGTGATGCAGTCATCACCAGTCGGGTAACCTCCTTGTTCTCTAAAATTTGGCATGGAGTAAAGGTACCTTCTCCCTGGGGCGGATCAATTATTGTCACAACCTTTAAGAAGGGTGCCCGCACTTTATGCGTTAATCACTGGGGGATCAGTCTCATTTCGGTTGCCTTAAAGCTATTGGCATCCATCCTACTTCGTAGACCATTCGCGATTCGTGAACCACAGTATCGGGAAGAACAAGCTGCCTTCCGTCCTGGCCGTGGGTGTGTGGATCAAATATTCACGCTCCGCCAAATCCTCGAACGCCGCCACCTCCACCAGAGACCTACTATCATTGCATTCTTAGACATCCGTGTAGCATTCGACTCAGACGATCACGTGCGCTATGGCGTTACTTGCTAAGGAACGGGGTCCCAAAAAATTACACTATCATCATGTGCGCACTCTACCTCTACGTCTCCGGCAGTATGAGAGTCTATGACAAGCTTTCGTCATCCTTTGCTATCTGTAGCGGTGTGTGATAAGGCTACCCTGTGTCCCTGTTTCTCCACAGTTTCGCGATTGAAGATGTACTGTCGCGGGCACTAGACGGTTACCAAAATTTTGGTCTACAGCTGCTACCGGGTAAGCGAGCGACCGACTTAGATTATGCCGATGACATCGCCTTACTTGGTTGAGGACTCACAAAGCATGCTAGCCATTCTATACCGTTTGGTGATTAAATCATCTAAGTTCGGAATGTGCTCAGTCCCGTTGAAGTGTAAAGTGCTGCTCCAGTATTGGCCCTCAACGGTTCCCGTGCTCACTCTTGAAGGCACACGGCTTGAACATGTTGGCAGCTTCTTGTACCTGAGTAGCTGCGTGTCTGCTGGTGGTGCTATCAAAAAATATTTCTCTCCTTATCGCAAAAGCCCGGTCGGCATTTTTCAACCTGCAACACTTGTGGTGTCGTTGAGATTTCTCTCTCTTGGTAAACGGTCGTTTACAATGCCACATTTCCAGCGGTGTTGCTGTATGGCAGCGAGTCATGGCCAGTTCGCGCAGTTGACATGCGCCGGCTCTCGTCCTTCTATAAGGAATGGTTTAATAGAATTTCTGATGTGTGGTGGCAACAGCGTATCTGCAACGGCGAAGTCTGACCTCCTGTCTTAGGGAATGGTAGTATTCCCCACAACAAGCTAGTTTTATTGCCTCAGTTAAGCTGTCTCGGCCGCGTCCAGCGCATGTCAGCTGAGCGTTTGTCCTATCGCACTCTGCTCATGTAGAACTCGACTGGAAGAGACCACGTGGTGGTCAACCATCCACCTGGCGACAGCATATGAAATCATTGGCTTCACGTCTTGCTGCCGTTGGATCCACACTCCTGTCTGGTTGGGACCTAAGGACGAAAAGTGCCGGTGGCTCGCAACAATTCAGGATGGGGCTCGCAACCGAAACCAGGGGAAGTTCTGTGTACACACTTGTTTAGATTCCATGCTTAACGCCTAAAATTCCAAAATATAAGAAGATGACAGCAATGGGGTTCCGTTTTTCTTTATTGCGGCACGATAGTTGAAGTGTGTTGCTTACCTTCAACTAAAGTGCTGTAATGATAAGCCCACGGCGACGCCATCTGTCATCCGTTGCATTTCACCGTTTACTCTGGCTCTGTGTCTATTTATTAGACCGTTGACTCAATAATAATAATAATAGTGATAATAATAATAATAACAATAATGCCTACTGTACATTATCCTCATTGTTGCTTTTAATTTGGAGAAACAACAGGATATTCGAAATAATTTGGAACACTGGTAGCCCGGCTTGATTGCTCACCTGTTGATCGTTTTTCCGAGCTTGGTAAAGAGATCGCATGCGTTTTACCACTATACGAGGTGGCATCTTCAGTGCGGTAATAGGCAGTGTATAATGCTGCCTCTACAAGGCAGCAACTAGCGTTCCTCCATGATTGTTTGCGAAGAGACGTGCTTCCTTGCAGCGTCAAATACTGAGCGCCGCTAAACCATCCCAGGGCTTGGGATGTTGCGCGTCAGTTTGGAAAACGCATGGTACGAATAATGATCACGGACGCTCATAATCGTAACAAGAAGTATGCAAGATGTCTGGATGTAGAGCGAGCCACTTGTTTGCAAACCTTTGGACAACAACTGACAGAACAATTACAATTGGCAATCGAACGCAGAGCAAACAACGCCGGAATGAAAAAGCAGGCCGCGCTTCATGAAAAGATGTCAAAATTGACCATCTGCCTATACGGAGATGACAACGATTGCTGGATCAGGAACCTTTCTAAACGACCGCTCAGTGAGACAGAGCAACAGATACTCACCAAAGGATTGAACTACAATATCAAAAACGCGGCAACCACGGAGATTTTAGCGGAATTCGAAAACGCTCTACGGTCAAATTGACTTGGAGAAGAGATACAGGAGCAAATCCGACACAAAATCGTCCCTTCCTTGACACACGTCAAGCAATACAATGCCCCATGTCAATAAGAGCAAGAAGCAATGAAAGCCCTGAGATCCGACGAGTCAATTGTTATCCTTCCTGCAGACAAAGGACGTGTGACAGTCATAATGGATAAGGCAGACTATACTGAAAAAGCAAAACGACTCCTGAACGATACAAGCACATACAAGCGCATTAATTACGATCCGACATCGCAGCTAACAAACCAAATAAACAGAACACTGCATGAACTACAACAGTTGAAAGAAATTACAGAAATTGAAAGGAATAAAATGAGCCCGTGACTCGAACATCGCCCAATTCTACGGGCTCCCATAAGTTCACAGAGAGGGTGCTCCGTTGCGGCCAATTGTTCACTTCCAGGTACACCCACCTACAGCTTGGCGAAGGAATTGTGAAGGCGCCTCAAACATCTTTTCAACGATTCGCAGCACTCCGTAAACAATGCTAATCAATTTCTAGAGAAGCTCAAGAATCTGCATATAGATCATGATGAAATGATGGTCTTCTTCGACTTCACCGCTTTATTTACATCTGTCAATTTGCAACTGGCAAAAGAAGTCATCATAGAACGCCTGAATAACAGATATGGGAAAATTGGGAGTATGACGACTGCAAGCAGTTGCAAGCTTCTCCAACTATGCCTCGCAACTTACTTCTCGTTCAACGGAGAGATCTACGAGTAAGTGAACGGGGCACCTATGGGATCACCAGTATCAGGTCTGATCGCTGAGATCGTCATGCAAAAGTGAGAAGAAGATCTACTACCAGCTATTAACCCGAAGTTGTGGATACGCTATGTCGACGATACATTTGTAATATTGAAACACAGTGAAGTAGCAATCGCACACCAACTGCTCAACAATGCAATGGATGGGATTCCGTTTACAATGGAGTTAGAGGCAGAAAACATGCTCCCATTCTTGGATGTGTTGGTGACCAGAACAAACGATGGTGAATTTCAAACATTCGTTCACAGGAAAGGGACACATACGGATAAAATTTTGAACTTCTATAGCAACCACCCAAAGTGTCACAAAATAAGTTGCGTGCAGATACTATTTCGCAGGACTGAAACACACTGCAGTACAGTGGAAGCCAAAGGGGAAGAAGAGAAACACCTATTCGATTCGTTCGAGCGCAATGGATACCCACGCAGCTTCATCCGCAGATGTCTAAACCACAAACCTATGAACACCGAGCCGATACCAAATGCAAGCAAGAGGGTCGTTTTGCCGTATATGAAGAACATATCTGAAATGACTGCCAGATTGCTCAAACAATACAGCATCGTGGTCGCTCATAAGCCAACCGCTACTTTGAGAAGAATACTGTCAAACCCAAAGGACATTAGGAATGCACAAGAACGAATAAACGTCGTGTATAAAATAAATTGCAATAGTTGTGGAGTGAACTATGTGGGGCAAACAGGAAGGAAATTGTCCACAAGAATACGAGAACATCAGAGGGCTTGTAAAAAACATTATGCATCGTCTCTTGTCTCAGCGCATGTGGATGAGGAGGGACATAGCTTCAATTGCAACAAAACGGTGATTTTAGCTCAAACAACAACACAGAAAGGAAGAGAGTTCCTAGAACCTAGTACTGCTCCAATAATTCGATCAACATGCGCATCGACATCGACCCCGTGTACCATCAACTCAGAAAGAAAGATCTGCGGCGAATCGCAAGATGTGGTTCAGCCGTGGAAGCAAATGGACAGAGATCACGTGGCGCAAATCGAAATTGCCACCTTCAAAAGTCACCTGCCCGTGAATCACGGACTGACAATTCTATAAGCAGCATTATACACTGCCTATTACCGCACTGAAGATGCCACCTCGTATGGTGGTGAAACGTATGCGATCTCTTTACCAAGCTCGGAAAAGCGATCAACAGGTAAAAAACAGGATAACCAATTAATGCTTCGACGCTCAGCGAGCCGGAAATCGTGGAGAGAGTTGGCTGAGCTGCAGGCTACTGTCTCGAGCCTCGAGATGAACAACGCTTGCGGCTATATACACTATGAGATATGGTTCAATCACTGGGTCAGTGACGCACTCTCGTTCGTTCTACTATTTCGGATTCGGCTACTCATTGATGATCAAATAGACGCGTCAATCGTCACATATCCCCGAGTATATGCCGGGGATCACATCGGGTGTTACCCTTCAACTAAGTCGGTGTGCGCAGTCACTCTTAGGAAAAAGGAGGATAAAGTGGATTATGTACGTTTTCGTGCACATAGGTTTAAGTTTGAACTGCGAATGAAATCGCCTCCAGTGAGCAATATAGAAGTAATTCGTACTCTTGTTTCCCCTCTATCTGAAACGTTTGAATAGTGCATGCATTTATGAGGCTTCGAGGGATCTCTGCGCCTTGCTGTCATTTTCCCGGTAACCGTCGCACTGATACACCTTTTTGACTTGAAATTTCCGGTTTCACCAGGGACGCCGGTGAGTATCAAGTAGCCATGAGGTCGGATGTTCAGCGACAGAGGAAGGTTCCTGCGAACAACCTCTTCACACTCAAGTGCGTCGATTGTAACGCTAGGCTGACCACTTCAAAGGGCGATTCAGCCGACCGCATCTGTCAGTGTTGGCGGCTAGGTCACCTAAACACACCTGAAACATGGACGAATCAAATCCCAGCACAGGTGAAGTCTGACACGATGTACTGCTAGTGAACCGATACAATCCGCATGTCCCAGGTGAAGCAGAATTGTCGGCCAGTTGGCGAAATGGCTACACGCTCGCGTTGTAATCCAGAGGCCATCGGTTCGAATCCACGTAAGTGTGATGAATGACTCCTACTTCCATTTTTCACGGGTGAGATGGTTTGATGACCGATTAGGGTATGCGGACGATAGTCATCTTTAGGTCGGATTCACCAATTATGACAATCATGCTCAATGAGCTGAGTTCCACTTTCAAAGGGCAACGTGCACCACAATGGATGAGGTGTTCCTCACCTCTAGCATGCGCGTAGAAAAAACAAATGCGGCTGCATGATTGGACAGACTTGACACCGGTTCCAACTGTCACTGCACAACTAAGTGTTGTCCATCGGTTTACTTACCTGCGTAACCGTGTTTTATCTAGTGACCATATCATCAAGTAGATTACTTCATGTATTGATACCATTCGTGGTGCAATGACCTTTGCCATGAATAGTTCTTCAAACTTCAACCACATCCTGCAATTTCCGTTGCATAGATTTTAAAAGATCGCTTTAACTGTTGCATACAAAAAGGCTGGAAAGAAAAACCTGTTACTGCTGCGGCCTCCTTCCTTTTCCACTCATTTCTATCACCCCTCCCGAACCTCGTTACTAACTTCCCTTCCATAGTTCTCAACTTGATAACAGCTGCAAAACGACTGGATTTCTTCCAGCTGCAGCTACTTTTTCGCACCACCCACTAGACTCCCATCGGTAAAAGTCCCTTACTAGGTCACGCTGCCCTATTTCCTTGGCGGCGTTCAGCGTTCGCACTGTTAGTGCTTTCGCGCGCACGTTAGACACTGCGTATTGATATGTGTCGCGTATCCGAAACTAGGATCAGTGACCCTCACGACGTTGATAACTAACTGTGCGCGGCCTATCGTCTCGCAATTGGTTACACGCATCTGGAGACCTTGATGCGGCACTCAGGATTCAAAATAGTTAGGGCATCGATCTTAACTCCAAGGCTGAGTCATCGTTGGTTGATTGGATTTTCGTGTACAGCCGTTTGTATGCGGCCCATCTGACTCACGAAGTAATACAAGACTGTTTCCTTGAGGTTTCCGCTTATTCTCCCACTAATTACTGCCAAGGACACCTACCACAAACTGAACACGTTGCCTCGCAATGTAATCTGTTCAGATATCGTTGTAACGGAGGATGTGAATACGCAAGGACTCTACAGAAGCTCAGCTAGGTGATAAGTATGCACATAGATCCGACCGAACAGACAACAGCAAGCATCTCTTGCAACCTTGTGCGGAACGCCACTTGTTTCTTAGTAGCGCCTTCTTTATACACAATGGGCGCCGAAGTACCACCTTGCGTGCTGGCTAGCAATGGACCCAAATTGATCACGTTGACATAAGCTACAGGTAGCGTTCCACCCTGGATTGTCTGGAATACCTGCGTCGACTCGGGTCATGCTTTGGCACGCTGTTCTTTTTCTATGAATTGTATAATGAAGCGTACCAAGCACCTCCTGAGACCGGCAACTACGAATTTATCAGAACCCTAACTCTGGCAAAACTAACAGGATACCTTGCTTACAGAACTTGCTTTCTCATCCTAATGACACTGAACTTCGTTGAAATAGAATGCTGGCTGCCATACACGACGCAGGAGCCTCTGTACGCAGCACCATTCACTGGATATCCGATAGGTCAGTGAACTTTTTGGAGCACACAGGAAACCTTCCGACTGGCTCTGAGCACAATATAGCCAGACGGGCTATTAGGCGCTAACTAGAGCGGAGCCTGCGCGCTGGGAAAGAAGTCCGGTGGGCTCAAGAAATGGAGGGGGATGAAGCAATAGGCAATTGTCGCAAGCTCTTCCAAATGAGCCACACTACTGGCCCCAGAATGCGGAGCGTCATTGATACAATCAGCGATTTCGCAGATGCCCTGATTTACGTTGAGGAGACCAGGCTGGCTGTTTGGTCAGCGCACTCTGTTTTTAGGTCTTCGTGCTCATACGGTAAGGGTTGAGCCATGACCGGTTAATTTATAGACTCCATTGGTGGCTGCGGCCAGAAACGTGACCACATCCCTTAATAGTTTTCGAACTACTGACCTGCATTCCCTCACACTTGTAGTGAGGTCTTCTGCAATGTACCGACTTCCGTGTTCGCACATTTCTAGTACAAAGAGATATTTGCAGCTAACTGGAGTGCATCCATCTTGGCGGCAATCTTCAGGAAGGGCCGTCATGGTGACTGCTAATCACAGGGATAGTAGCCTAACAGCAGTGGTGACAAACTTATTAGCCTCTGTTCTCCTTCGCCACCTCAGCGCGGATTAGGGAAAAGCAAGTATGTTTCGCTTATGCCGCGTCTGCTCAGGCCACATTCACTGCGGCAGGAGCTAGAGCAGCGTCACACATATCGCAAACGGATAAGAACTGTTCCTGGAGTGCGTTCGACTCAGTTGATCGATCCAATCTGTTCGAGGCACTTGCGTGGAAAGATGTTGCCTCCTGGAATCTGGGTCCTTTTCCCTGCCCTTTACTCGAACAGTACGGACCGCATCATCGTCATCGGTGATTTTTCTGATATCTTTCCGACAATGAGTGGCGTTCCTCGTGGATTTTCATATTTCTGGTCAAGTTCGGTATGAACTCTATTATTGAATGTTCCCTTACGGAATCTCACGATACAGGCGTCGTGATGCTGCCTATTGCGAATTTAGCTGGTGTTGTTTATACGGACGATATTGTCTTGCAGTTTAACTTTATTAGGGTGATCCAGTCAACGGTGAATCATCTCTGTGCATGCGATTCGCACCTTGAAACTCCTGTTGGAGGATAGCCAACCACTTCATAACCCCTTTATTCTTGATAGCAAAAAACTCGAGGTAGTTGATAAATTCACTTTACTCGGCAGGTGCATCAACAACGATAAGCGCATAAGCACTGAAGTCAGTACGCGCATTTCAAAAGCAGGCACTGCTTGCTGGAATCTACGACATCTATAGCGTCAGAAACGGGGTTCCCTCAGTCTAAATGGCTGTGTTTACAAGGCCACAGCATAGCCCATCCTGCTTTATTGGAGTGTGACTTGGCCCCATTGGTGCGATGGTTTGCAGCGCATTCGAGTCTTTTTTCGTGTCTGTTTTTGTTCGAGCCATCGCCCCACCGTATGCAGCAGGTTGGATGACCGGTTTCCTTCCACTTCTCGACAGCCTATGTAACTTGAAATTAGTGGTATTTGTTTACACTAAATTTGCCATCTAGACTGATATACTACTAGGGCGTCTACACCTGGACAGGAGAACGTCTCCGGTTTTTAGGCCAAGCTTTTGAGAATATGTACTTCCGAAAGGCAGCGGGAAATGCTTCATGTGTCAAGCTGCTCACGTGGATGTCTCCTGGCTGGTGTCGAACACTTCATTGACGTTTCCGCAAGGGTGATGTGTGTAGGTGAGTGTTAGTCATGGATAATCATATTAGTTTCTCTGAACAACAGATACCACTGAATATGTTGCTTTGATTTGGGCGATACTGCGTATGTCCAGTTACAGCTTACTGAGGAAGGCCTTGGTTTGTTTATCAGATGTAGGGAGGCGCAAGACTCAAGGTAGGCAAAAATGATGCAACGGAAAATGCAGTCACTGATGAATCAGCTGGGTGTTGTTGTCCCGTCTCGCTTTCCAGTCTGGAGTCCACGTGACCCGCCTTGTTTTTGTCCTGAAATCTTACATGACATGGTACGCATCGGCAACAGAGACCGGTATGCAGTCATGTAGTCGGATTTCCTGTTTAACCTTTACTTGGTGCTGAGTTGTCTGCAGGGTACTGGGCTTTAATGATGCGTGGCAGTGAATGCCTAAAGGAAACTATCTCGCGGATTCCGCCTTATTGAACAATAGCCAGCTGTTTGTGACGGTATGTTGTTTACAAGGCATAGGCGTCTTGCCCTTGAATGTTGCTTGAGGCATTGAGTTTTCTGCTAGTCACCCGTCCACTTTCACTATTTATTTTTCATTACCTAGATCATTGCGGTTGTAAGATAGCGAAGCATCAGTCCAGTTGGCTGATGTACTTCTGTTGATGACGAGGTTGGATACTGCTTTTGACTGGTGGTGTGTGTGTGCAGTTATACAAGTATTTGACTACAATGTTTTACCTATTGGACATTAACTACTGCGCTGTTTTAGTCGCCTGCTTTTTGCACCCGCGAGGAATTGACCGAGGATGATGTTTCGTCCACTTAATGTTAGATGCCGTAAGTTTTGAGTGGCAATGACGCTGTCGGTCTGTCACAATTTTCTGACGGTGGTTCACGTCACTCACCCCCTTATTTGCTTTGCACACTTCAGCGCATGTGCCGTATCCGACACCAGTTTCCTGTTTTTCCCGTTTCCCAAATGGGATCTGCTGATTTACACACTGAGCACGGATGATTATATTCCAGTTATTATTGGACAATAGCAATTAAAACTAGGCATCAACATTACGCCGGTACGCAGTACCAACACTTTGTTGCCGCGCAATCACCGCCAGTCGCACGTGGGCTAGGCATACTACAAAGGTCTTTCGGTTCCCCACGCAGACTGGTATCCGCGACCTCCGGAGTACAAAGCAGGTATGTGATCATTTTGGCCATGGGCCGTACTAAAGATGTGTTGCGGAACCGCCTTAACTTCACAGGACATGTTGAATACTGCCTCTTGTAATACCAACTCTCCTAGTCGGATGAACGAACGTAGACTCAGAATTATTTCTCGCACAGCACGGTAACTGACAAATCTCGAAGTCTGTGGGTTCTCGGAACTTAGCCGCGCAAGATTTTACTCACACGAGTCGAACGGGTTCCTAGACCGAACGCAAAGTTTCTACGCACGATTTCCCAACCCATGACTGAATCAAGAACAAGACAGGCCTTTTGCCACAGGCGCTTTTACTGGCCAAAGCTAAGGCGATTCTAGCGTTGTACAGCCTCATTTTTATATCACGAAACGGTGATGAAGGGAGGTTTTTCCTTGGAAGGGTTTGCTTACGCAAACCCTGGAAGCAAAAAACATGGTTTTATGTAAATATGCAAAGTTCGTAAACTGAGCAGGAATGTTGGAAGTTTGGCGAGAGTTGTCCGGAAAATAAATGTTGCTTGGATACAACAATGAGTGTTTGGTTGGAAACGAGACTGTTTCTGGGTGCAAAGGCTAAACGAATGTGAATGTTTCATGAGTTGTAAGGCTGATTGAACGTGTGCGTTTTGTCTGATCCGAGTACATGTGCACTTGTGTGAATCGGGTTTTCAGCCTTCCGTAATTTAAGCCTGTAATAATTATAACTTTGGGTCCCCTTAACAGGATACTATTAAAGCTCTTTTTCATACATCGTTATTGCTCTGTACCTTTCGGTTTTTAGCATTTGCTAAAATTGCATAGATCTCAATTTTTAGTGACCTTTTATTGATGTCCTGCCTCTTTATTTCATTCATGACGTTATGTGCACTTGGATTTTCATCTCCTATCTCTGACCAACCTCGTACACTCTTAATGTCAGGTACATGAACGCCATTGGCAGACGGATTGTCTTTTGGGTTTGGTCAAGTGTCTCGTCAAGGCACGCCCGGAGCTTCGTGTGGTATTGATGTCAGCAACAATTAACTTTAAGCTGTTCTCTTCCTTTTTCAATAATTGCCCCATAATCGAGGTGAGTTCTGGCTCAAGATTATCTTGAGCTGCTTGTGGTTTTTTAATGGTTTTCTAATGTTATGTTTTTCTTACCATAAGCAGATCTACAGGTTGCTTTATTGCTCTTTTGGCACCCGTTGGTAGAAGAGCCTACCATGACTCGCTACATACATTTAGAATGTTGTTAGATCCTGTAACCTCATGTCAGATGCAATATCTCATGTGTCCCGTTTCTTGTTCCATCATCACGAAGTTCGAAGTTCGGAACATAGCTTGTCCCCAGCACGACGTCCTCTTAATCACAAGGTATCCGTTTCGACGTTTTGTAGCATACTTACAGCCGATTAACAACCCACAATTTCTGGTGAGCTGATGTTTCCTAGACTGCACTCGCATTTGACATCGAGGCTCCATCGAACGGAGCGATTTAATCTCACCACCAACCCACTTTCCATTATTCCTTTTGAATGTGAGATGTTGGGGAAAACAAGACGCTGTTTAAGTCCGGTACCCACTCGCAGATCTCAGTTTATTTTTCTATCTCCACTATGCACTCAACACCTTGTCTTGTCGTTATTTTCAGACTTTCGCTCTTGTGCATGCGAAACTCTAAGAAGCAAACGTTAGTAAACCCCAGTATCCTACAGTATGTGTGCTGGCGCCACCTAGACCTTACATTCATGATGATACAAGTGGATTGGAACGAAGAGTTTTTGCATCACTCTAACCCCGTTGACGAAACCCAGTTGGATGTAGAGTTTTACTACCGATTGGATTGAAACAATAGATATTCATTACATGAAGGAATCCCGGGAGTCTTTGTGACTGAACAGGTTAAAATGCGACAGCTTTTTCAACAAAGCTCACTATTGTCTCCGTTTATATGTTTTACACTGACTTTTACGCAATTCACATAGAGGAGCTTATAAAATGAATAACCATGCACCCGTGTAAGGAGGTCACGATGAGATCAGTTCAGTTAAACAACTTGGAACCATTAAACTTAGTTTACGGACGATACGGCTCTCTTCGGATCGAATCTAGCTGTTACGCTTGCGTTTCTGAATTAGCTGACGCGTAGCAATGCGCGCTTCATCTTGTCTTGCGCCTTGCCGTATCTTATCTAATATAAGCCGATACATTTTGGACAACTTTTTCTTTCTGTACTGAGGGTCAGCTTATAAAAGGATGGTAAGCAATTTGAAAAAATTCGCATGCAATATCCACCCGGGAATTTACTGCACACCTCTGCCTTTCCTCAGCACCACCCGCTAGTGACAGACGGTACCACAGATCATGTGACGTCGTGTTAGCGCTATTTTACACAGCGAATCAAAAGATTATACATTATGGTCACCACAACAGATCAGTAGTAGAGCTGGTTTCACTTGAAAACACTCAAGATGACGTCAAAGTCGTGGAGAAACAACTTCTTTTCTATTTTTGCTTGTTTTTTGCGGGGGGTCGGCTAATATAGAGGCTTTCGACTTGAGAAAAATTTGTTGTTGCAGATATACTGTCGGCCCATCTATGGGCGGGCTTATATTCGGTAACATATGGTACTTCTGGAGAATCAGGTTGCTTAGCCGCCATTTTTCAAACTTATGAAAGAACCTTCTAAAACGGTCGGTGAGTTTACTTATTTGGGTCACTGTATCGCCTCTGTCGATTGCATCAGTGCAGTTCAGCTACATCAACGATAAGGTTTCCCTGTACATTGCTAAGGCGTGTATAGGGCAGGCTTCTAACGCCACGTTGCCGCCAATGTTGCTCCACGCTTCAGGGACCTGGCCGCTATGTGCTGAGTTCCAGAGGAGACTGACTATCTTTGACCCGCGATGCTTACGCAGTGCTGCTCATTTTTAGTGTGGGAACCGAATGTGTAACGCTTGTCGTACTTCTAGCGCTTCTTTGTAGTGCCCGTTGAAACCGATTATTCACGCGCTGAGCGTACCAGAGAGCAGGCTGCTTCGAGGTGCGCTGTTCTGCAATTTACCGTCTGAGTGATATACTGAGATGTTCATTGCAGATAAGTAAGAAGAAAGTCATAGAATCGCTGGGACGGGTTAGTGCCCGTCGTTTTCTCATAAACGGATATAACACCATCGTGATGTCAATGCCGTTCTGGCATCCTTTCCGTTATTTCTGTCTTATGTTTACTTCGTATGGTGATATTACTTTCTTACTTTTCTAACACTTATAATAATAGTTATACTATTATTGTGCTTGTTGCCGTCCGTGGTCATCATCATCATCATCGTGTTGACGGTTTATGTCATGGGAACTGGCTACCTTGGGAGCTTAACTCAGCATTTAAACTTACGACACTGCGGCGTAAATCTAGGTTTGCTAGAGAACCCTGGTCCCTGGTGATTTGATCCATAAGGCAGTGGAAACCTGTCCATCTGCATTGTATGCATGCAGAGCTTCATGAGACTCTGTTTTGATCTAATCATGGTCAATCTATGAACCTTTGGAGTAGTTTTTTAGACATCTGATTGAGTATCTGCGATCACGATCAACAGATATGTGCGTCTTTACTAGTTTACATCTTACTTGCCATATTAAGACGGGCAGTGGCGTCACCCAAGGTGAGTACGGGTGATGCTTTCTTGGGTTCTATACACGAGCAGTGGCGCTCGTACTGTGCTGCAGTTGAGCTAAATGTATGCACTATCAATTGTCCTTCTTTTTCAGCTTTCGAGAGAAGATTGGCATCTTCCTCCTCCGACTAACTATGAGAAAATATTGGGTTTAGATTCATCTTACTTACTATCAAGCTGTGAGCTTCGACTATCTCTTCCGGCGCCACACACTTTTTGCTCAGTGTACTACCAGGTCCCGGAGATGCTCAAGTTACCAAACCAAGGCATTGAAGTCAAGTCAAATTAAGCTTTATGAACCCTAATAAGTTTATTTTCAGCATTTACACAACCACTGAGCACACATGGATGATAATATCAATATACATGCTTGAGTAGAAATGCGGAAAAATACCAGAACTGTTACTCCAACAACCGCTCGCGCAGCATAGTGACTTTTGCTGTGTCAACAAGCAAACGTGAGAGATAAGGCATAACAGCATTACGATACGATGACGAACGAGTAGAAGAGAAAAAGAGCGTTTTGGAAAGATCATTTTGAAGTGGATGAAATCGATCAGTTAGTAACTCAGAAGAAAAATCATTGCAGGTATCAGGATGTCTAGAAATCAACCAAAGAATTTCTAGATAAGCCACTGCATCTAGAAATATACACCAAAAAGAAGTTGTCTTTCTGAAGTAGTCCAGGAAAAATGACAGGCGACCTGTATAATCACTGGGGAATAATACTAGAGGTCACAAGCCTGCATATTAAAGTACGAGGTACTGTAATCACCTTAACTCTGAGGGCATAAAAAGAGCTTTGCAACTTTTTGGAAAGTTTTACCGACATACGTGGATCGAGAAAGGTTCTGGGACAAAAGGGGGCCGAGATATTTGACGTTGGAAGAGCTGGGTATGGGTTTTTCATTCACAGTAAGCTATGAGGGACTACAACTGATTGCCACGTAGAAAGAAAAATATTACATTCCTGCATTCAGAAGCATTTAGCGTAAGAGATCTGGATGAAGATCATTCCACCAGATCTTCCAACCCACGTTAAAGTGATGTGGAATCCTAGTTAATGGGGGCAAACATTACAGCACAACATCATCAGTATATTTACACCCTATAAATGTGGTTTTTATAGGGAGATGTTCAACATACAAAGAAAATAGACAAGGTGATAGGATCGCTCCTTGTAGAATACCACAGTCGGCACAGAGGACAGAGGATTTCCTATCGTTCAACTTGGTGAGGGGAGTACGATCCGTAAACTAGTCACGTAACAGATTACACAAACCCGGGTGAACTCCATTTTCACATAGAAGGTTTAGCAACATTGGCCTATCCTGGCTTCCAAAGATCTTCGAATAATCCAGGAAGAGAAGCCGTACGGATTTACATTTTTTGATCTAATTCAGAGGCTGTAGAATAAACAAGATATGCCACTGCATCCAATGTGGAGCGTTGGGGTCTATACGCAAACTGGTAAATATCATCTTCAGGAGTGGTTGAAAGAATCCGCCGGATTAACAGTCTTCCGAAAACTTTTAGGTGCATAGATGTACATGCAATCGGGCGATACTTTTGAGATCCAGTATTTTGTACTGGAGTCATACTGGCTGTTCTCCAAATGTCCGGGACCACACCCGTAGTTAGGCATTTGTTAAAGAGATCTGTTAAACGCAGTGTGAGAGAATCAGCATACTTCTTCAAAGCTTATGGTGAGAGAGCATCTGGAGTACAAGCTTTGGTTGCCTTTAATCTTATTGAGTTGCTTATGGACGTTGTTTTGATCGAAAGGTGCGGCTGGACTTGAACTAATGAAGGAGGGCAAGGAGGATGAGCTTAGTGAGGCGGAACTAAACTCCGAATTCAGTTTATCCACATCCACTTTATCGCTCTGGCTGCAAACGCTCTTACCACAGAGCTGCCTCAGAAGCCCCCACAGATCACGACAGTTATGGTTGCCTAGAACTGCTTCGACATATTATTGATTTATTTTTTTCTTGTATTTAATTACTGTGGTTAGGCTTTTGACAGGGGTAGCATTCTTGTACTTGTAGACCCATTCTTTCATCTTTCGAAATCGCTTTAGTAGTGGTGATGAAAATTTACCTGCACTTAGATGGATCATTTCAACAGGGCAACGCATAGCAAAGCAATAATAGGTGTACTCCATAAGATGGTCCCAATCGAGCAATAGGTTCTCGTTATTGAAGACCGAAAAATCAGTTAAAGAAAGCATCGTCTGGAGACTCGTGATATTTTTCAAGGAGCAATTGCACCGTTTGATAATCTTGTAAAGACGTCTGGTCAGCGTAAAAAAGTTAGACCTGCTGTATATGACTGGACACAGTTTTCTTATACAATGGTCTGAGCTGCTCAAACGAACCCGCTTTTGTATGAAAAACTACTGTCGCTTATTTGTGTACACAGCGTTCAACTGGGCATCTTGCCTGATTTAAACAGTCACTAGGTCTACCAGGCCAAGTGCCTTCAAGAATGTTGTATCCTTCCTATTGAACTCGCCAGCAACAATACAGATAGAACAATGTAATTTAAGCAGTACCGTTGAAGGAAGTTGGTCCTCCAAAAACTTTACCTCCGATGCAGATGTGTCAGAAGCAATGTATAGGTTTCCAACGATGACTGATTGAAAGCCACTTAGGAACTTCGGTCTGCATTCAATTAAATGGCAGTTTATAGAAATTGTTGAGTACGTAAATATTATGATTGTTGCGGTGTACCAAAGTTGGTTAACATAATTTTTAACGCCACCACCACCACCACCACCACTACTACGAAACTGGGGCTTCCCGAGGCGGTCAACCCTGAGAGGAAAATAACTACCGAGTTCAATTACTCCATTTTCCACATCATTATGCAACCAACTTTCTTGTAATAGAATGATTCTCGTATTAGCCTACTCATTTCGCTGCATAATGACACTGGGATCATTGATTTTACCAAAAAGCGAGCGAACATTCATGGAAAGTATCAGTGGGACTTTCGCTTTGTCGATAGAACAACGACCGAGGTCAGATTGCTAGCCAGCACGATGCTTGCGCTTTTTTCTAAGACATTCCTAATACGTTTCCAATTGTTCCTGACTTTATGGTCGTATTCCATGAGGAACGAATTTAAGGCAGTAACACGTAACGTTTTCAAATGGTTGACGGAGTAGAACAACATTGACCTTTAGACCTGATCAGAAAAAAACAAATTGCTTCAATGTTTAAAAATAAAATATAGTATCCCCAGTCGGTAGTGTAAAATAATCTTCCAACGAGAACAGCAACAGCCGAATTTGAAGACCCGGCTCCAGTTTCTTGGATCATACATTAGGCAAATGTTGTAAGGGGTTTCAGGAAGGAAAGACTTATGCCGCGTCCACCGAAGATCGAGTTTTGCCATCGGCCATAGTTAGAGGATAATGCATTAGGGCTTTATATACCCACAAGCGCTTAAACATGTCAACTTCAGCAGATGCGTGTCTAATATATAGACAGTGGATTTGTCCGTTGTACAGCTTGCCGGTCTAAATTCGGTTAGTATGGCGGATGCTTACACAGGATACCATCTTGATAGTTGTTTTTGCCAGCACCTTCCTCACCATCAGCGTCAAAAATTTACGGGGCGTCGGAATACCTGTTGGTCCTTCTGGAATATCCTCCTCTCCACATGTAACCGAAATTCCCCTTTGGTCGTTTCTCCATTACCACTATAATTCGCTATGAAATACCACGGCATTTAGCTTGGTGACACATTCTAAAAGCCCATCCCTCTTGTTGTTTTTCTCCTCTCCGAATTTACGAGCATTGGGAATTACGAATACGAATATAGAAACTTAGTACTTCACTGCATAACTTACCTATCACACAGTGCATGAATATTCTTCGTTTTATGGTTCAAGAACTTTGGATTCATTGAATACAACTTCCACCTTATGAAACGTGCACTTTTGTGAGGTGTTACTTTTGTGAAGCAACTCCATATACTTTCAACACCAATAAGCTGTGCGTCATTGGCCAGTACGCTGCCGATTTTAATTTAACTCACAGGTCCCCGGTCGATTGTTTCCTATCGAGCTTCAGTACTTTCCGCTCACTCCAAATGAGATGGCCAGGGTTGGTGACCGTCTGGATCCCGCTCCTTACTTGCGGCTTCTTCAACATATCGATGCTCGATACCCTGTGAGCGAAAAGGGTGATTTGTTGATTTTTCTACCTGGCATGTCCGATATTCAGGTAAATCACTTTTGATCTTTTATAATCTAGCTGCACATTTTCTACTTCCTCTTTGCTCACACATAAATAACTATGTAGTCCTTTCGGACTTGCTTGTTCTTCCTGAAGTATCGTCTTATGCTATCTGCGGCCAATTACTCGTCTATTCAGAATTGCTCCGATATTTCAATCATCAGGATTGTTACTAAGAACATTTTTTCGAGCTTTTGACGAAGTTTCATTACCACTCGATTAATTCGCTCTTCATTAGCTACGATCGCGTGGTCATAAACGCTTCCAAATGAATGAACCTTTTTTGAAAATAGTGAGTACTTAATAATAGTTGGGGAACCCGTCTCAACTACCTTGAGGCGCTTTTGATATTCCGTGAACTGTCAGAATGTACAACCATCTGTTTTCCCAACTATCTAGTGAGTTCTTGTCTTCACTTGCGGTTTTGCATAGCTGCTCTGACCTCACTTAATTTTGACGGAATGTACGTTTCGCTTCGATTCGTAGCGCAATGACTTCTGCTCACGGTAGTACCAATCATGCCCGTGCAGAATGTTAAATATTTTGAACTCGTTAAACGCGCTGGAATTTTGCATGAGCTAAATCAGAGCGTGTGAACTGACGAGAGTGCTTGGGGTGGATGGATAGTCGCTGCAATTTTCATCCGTATGATTTACGACATCAGCCTCAGGAATTTGCGCCTCCTCATTACATTTACGCGCCCCATTGACCCCAAGAATCGTGAAGTTCTACGCAGTCCGGCTTGTTTTTGGGGTCACTTTCAGTGGCAATTCGTTTTGCGTCGCACAGTTCGACCGTCGGTGTCTGCAGGTGCTTCTGTGGCCTGATAAGCGCTGGTAACCCTCAGTCGCTTCTCCACTAATGGTGTAAATTTTCTCATCCCCTCTTTATTCACTTTTGGTGACGGTGGCCTTATGGATTAATTGATCCTCGTGATAATTTGTAGGCAACAACCCGGAACTGCGGCATTGCAACCTTTTCGTATACAACTTTGACCTTGAAGTCCTGAATCGATTGCGTAGCTAATTCCTTGAACAAAATATTTAGTACAATAGGAGACAAAGTGGCCGAGGATGTGAACCTATGGATTGACAAACCATTGTTCGCAGATACCGTATAACAACGAACTGCTCTTCTTTTCCCTTTCACCGGGGCTATCTGCAGTGATTTTCTGTCATGAGGTCCGATGCGCCGGTGTCAGCTTCTGTTGTTCATCTGTTGTTAATGGTTATGGGCGCTTCTGATCTGCTATCATATATGTTAGCTATCCGATAATCCAATCACCCTGAATCAGGGTTCTTATTGCTACTTATGTTTACTGTTGTCCTGTTATTACCCGCTTTCGACTTTCCGAACATTGGGCACTCCCTTCTATTTGTTGGCAATTCAGCGCTCTTTAATCTAGTTCCCAAGAGTTTCCACATATTGATAGCATAGTTTTAGGTGGCCAGCAGTATCTATTTAAATGATATACTGAACCGTCACTATAGTTACTTCTTCATGCACTATTTGTGGTTGATTTGTTACTCAACATACCTCATTATACTCTTCCTGTCTAGATTTTTAGTCAGGCTTCCGGTAACAGTTTTGACACTCGAAAGGGACTGGGGTAAGCAGCTCGATTGGTCTTGGACCTTGTGTAGCTGCAGGAGATCACAGCTCGGTGGAACAAGCGTTTGAAGTGAATGGTCACCCAGTATGATCTCTGCTGATTCAATCACCGTTCACTGTCGCGTTTTGACAGTGCTGTCATTGCATTATTCACCTTATGCCATATTGTATCATGTGGGTAGGAGTTCTGTCTCGCTGTAGTTTGGTACCTATTCCACGGCTGTATGGCGTGCACAATTGCCCAGTTCGTTTCACGACCACCATTCTTTTGACTACTTGTATATCATTTTGGCCCTTTATATGATGGGTACGTCATTCCAACCACCCAATTGCAAACCGTCGAAATGATAAAAATAGCGCATCACTCTCCCTTAACTCATACATTTCCACTAGGCTGTCATGGAACCGGCGAAGGCATACGCTGAACAAACAAAGCAATGGATAATCCTAGCTCTTCATAGCGCACTCTCCGCACAGGATCAGGAAAAGGTGTTCCATGTTGCCCCTGATGGTGTTCGCAAATGCATTTTGTCAACGAACATTGCCGAAACCTCACTAACTATCGATGGGATAAGGTAAGGAGAATTTGCATTTCGACCAATGCCGCCAGCGAGTACAGAATTCACGCAACTCGATGCGGTATTAGGACTTGTTAACATGGTGGGCTGTAATTTACTTGCTTTCACTCACTGTCTCTGCACTAGTAATCATTGTCACATAACTATTTTTTCACTTCGGTGTATCAATTCTTTCAGGGATGAATTATTTAGTTAAAATTTGATCGAATCTGTCTCTTTTTGGAGCCATACTACTTCCTAGCATACCGTTTCCGAATAGACGCTTGTCGTACTGGTAGTTACAATCGTTTTCTACAAGCTCTTCGACTACAACTATATCTGTGACACATCCTTTCAGCGCTAGTAGTTTGACTGTAGCAGACGATGCCGGTTGCTGGTCAGGCTTTATTGGGGTCTAGCGTGCAGCATTCAATAAACGATTTTGCGAGTTGTGATGTTCTTCGAGCTAAAGGATTTGGTTTCAAACGCTTCGTCGCTAGTTGAAGTGCGAAAGCGTTTGCTGTTTCGTTGCATCTACGATTTGTCTACCCTATCTTGGTGATGAGTGATGATTATGCGTGTGATGTGCTATGCATTGTGCGCGTTTCCGATTACCCGTAGCTCACATTCGCATTTTCCTCTCCGAGTTCTATTGGGATCGTGGTTTGTTCGGTGTGTAGCCGGGAACGTTGCAACTTTAACCAACCATATTCCGTCTACCAGTTCCTTTTTCCCACTCTTCTCAGTTGCATCTGCAATCCAGTCGACGGGTACATGCGACCCGCCTTGTTCCTTTGATTCCACGCTCCAGATCGCTTTGTTCTTCCCTGTATTACTCGATGCAAGCGATCAGTGCCTCACCAGGCTTTCTCTTCTTTGCTGAACCCCTGACATGGTTATCTTCGCTATCGTCGACGCTTGGCTGCTTACTTTTGGGGCTTCCTTGCCTGGGCTTGTAACTTCGGTGCCCACTCTGTGTATAGAGAGGGTGCTTTTGCTTTTGCGTAGAGCCACCTTTAAACTCGTCCAAAGGCACTTAACTTGGTGGAATGTCTACACATCTGTCAGGGGCGGCAGCATATTGAATGACGTTTATTTTATTTTATTTCCGAAATGCATATTAGCTATTTAGCTTGTGATTGCCACTGTGTTGATTGGTTCCTGATGTTCAAATCGGCAGAACCTTTCTGCGTACGTACCCAGAGCTTGCGTTGTAGTGTTTTGCGTTCGACTCATTCTGCTGGTTTTATATCAGTGGCATCTTCCCATCGAAGCTCATCCTTACAGTGTTCCGTTTTCACAGATGGCAATCAAGGTGGTTTGCATACAACACTTTGCCTTGCAATTTTCTTGGGCACTTTGGTTAAATGTGAATTTTCGCCTTACCAGTTTTTGCCCTAATCCACATAGCTTTTACTCTCACATCACGTGATTATGTCTTGTCCTACGTTCGGAGCAGTGACATCACTCTTGGTAATACTGAAAAGTCTGTATCGGTAAGTGGATTTTACCTTACGGTCGCGTCAGCTAAATTTGTGGTGTGGTTCCCTGCAATCATTATGGTATGTACAATTCCACGGTGCTTGTGGGGATGAGTGACTACATTTTTAAAGGGTAATTTAGCTTCTCTATATTCTCTGACGCCACAAGCACATAACATGTTGCAATTCTCGTTATAAACAACATTCTGATCTCTGTCGTCACTATATTTTATGCCTATTGCTTTTCAACCGAGAGTTTTATGTCTATGTTTGGTCAACCCACTTTTTTCTGTTGGGCACTTCAGCCAACGGTTGTCACGACTCACGCATTCGACGTAGGGAACTAGTGTCTGTCCTGCGCGAACAGGTTACAGTTTTTGTGTACCCACGTATTGGACGACAGCGGTCAACCATTGAACAGCTAATCGTCTTTTACCTCATGCGTTGGACAATTCCACCGATCGGCCGGTGGCCGATATCATTGCACGCTTGCGTTGTAATTCTAAGGTTGCCGGTTCGAATCTGGGTTGGTGCGGAGTCCTAGCGATGTCCCCGACCCATCCACGACCGATGGTGGTCCCGTGGCAGCGCAAAGTCGATACTGTTCCAGTGTATTGCTTAGGCCTTTTTCCTTGACTTTATGGTCTAGGAGTCATCATTTTTCCTTCGTTCTACCTCGCGAATGGTTCTAAATCCTTTCCTCGTTAGAAGTGACTTGTGTGGCAAGCTAACAATTACTTTTCCATTCGTCACTGTATATTTACCCCTTAGTTGCGTTGGTAACATTGTGTGGCAGACGAAAGCTATCGAGATGCACAAACTTTATGCAGAAAACCAGCCATCCTTTATCTTGATGATTTTACAGTTGAATAGAGCTTGTCGACCAAAGGGTTCATTTTGACGCGATTTCCATGACCCGTTTTTTGCCAAGGCCTTCGCGTAGAATATTCAATCTGTAACCAAATAGCTGCTAACTGCCACCAGGGTGTAGCATTAGCATGTTATCCTATCTGCAGAGTGACTACGAGCAGTCGGCTCCCACATACACCAAGGCTGGGTTTGTTCCTGTTAATTACGTTCTTTTTACTTCCCTACTGCTTTCTTTTCGCTCCATTTTTTTCAAGTATACAGTGTCCATTGTTTTTGGCATTGCTTCAATTCCTAAGCTATATCCTTCTCTCATTACAGTCATTCTCAATTACGAGCGGTCTGCAACTTTCACGCTGATGCCGATTACCATCATACCTTTTAGATTTGTTGCTGATTCTGGAAGAGTGAAAGAACTTAGTTGGGACGCTTCAGCTCGGATGCGTTGTCTAAAGGAATTCCCAATTTCCAAGGCTAGCGCTGACCAACGCAAAGGTCGCGCTGGCCGTACTGGACCTGGAGTGTGTTTCCGCTTCTTTAGTGCTCAGGATTACGACGCACTTCAGGTATGTCTGTGCCGCCTCCATGCAGTTCGACGAGGAATTCTATTTTGGTTATTTGCTCTCTCGCTCTCTCCATCACTGCCTATGGCTCTTAATCACTTTTCATGCGATCCATGAAACCTTGACCGTCTGTGGTCCATATATATACTAATCCTACTAGGACCACCAGCTTCTTTACGTTTTGCTGCTGGCTACAGAGAGAAACATCGGTCCGTCGTGTCTACTTTCATGAACTTGAACTTATGACACAGCGTGTTGTACCTCTTTACAGCCCACTGCGTTTCACTAGCCCTTCTACTACACCTGGAGAGCCATCCACTTTGTGTGAAACAACATATTATGCATGTCCTCCAAACATCATCTCGTTAGCCTAGGGTGAGAGATACACCATGGCTACTGTGCTGCAATACAAAATGATGAGAGGTTAAACAATACAGACTAACAAAATTACAAAAAATTAACATGATGCTAAATATCACATCATGCATTGCGTTTGCGATCACTGTTGGAGTGGGATGCTTAAGGGCAGGGCAGGGACAAACGGACTCACAACACTAATGCCACTGAGGTCAGCTCTTCGCCATGTCAGCTAGTGTATCCAAACGGCCGTGTTCATCCTCCTTCGGACACTAGCCAGGTAGTCGGTAAACACCACCCGACGCCAACTTCGAAGCGAGGGACCTCATTTCTCTTAACCAAGCCATCACTTGGCCTCCCGTTCTCCTTTTCCAACCGCAGCCCGGCGCGCAAACAACGCACGATGCGGGAATCAGTGTGCTGGCATACACAACACGTGTCCTAACAATCGGAGCCTGGTGCGTGATATAATAGTGCTGAGTGATTTACTCGCTCTCCCTGCACCAGATACGCGACACCGAACGCGCTCATTGCTCACACTAAGTTCCCATCAGACATAAGCTAAGCTGCGAAGGCTGCGATGGTCGAAGGTAACAAGTCTCTTTAAGTCTCTCGACTTGATAGACCAGGTTTCTCAACCTTACAGGAGGGTTGAACGGATGCCTGCATTGTAAACCCTGCGCTTCGGGGTGATAGTAGTGTTACGCCGGCGACGCAAGTGGCGGAGATTCGATAAAGTGCATGGAGCTTTTGTTATGCGGTTTGTGATCTCATTTTCAATTTCGCTGGCGCTGTTCTAGCTGCCGCGATACTTGAATTTCTCGATGACTTCTAGCTGATCACCACCAGGGGTCAACGCAGAGGTGCGTCCATCGCAATCATGGGTAAGTGCTTTGTATTTCGAGGTTGTAACATTGTTCACGTTTCTTAGCACCCTCATCTCCGGCTCACAGGGGTATCTGTAGACTTTGCAATGGAATTGGTGTTTTTAACCACTACTTTATTTTTTGCGATGATAACCTTTTAACGCTGGTATGACCAACCTTACGACATCATTCTACCCGGTTTCAGTTGAGCCACTGCGGTTACTGTACACGATGTTAACTTTTCTGCACACTTGTTGCTTAATATTTTTTCGACTGTATCTTAGCAATTTGTATGCACAATAACTTGTATTATTTCGATTTCCCATGGATCATCGCTACCGAAAACTTCTCCTTGTTCCCTGAAAATGCTGCTGTGGCATTTTATATAGAACTTTGAGCTTCCTTGTCTTAACCTATACAGCACAATATGCGACTTCTGGATTACCTTAGCATCGTAAGAACCACGGGTCAGAACTATAGAACATCTTTCCATTCTTCCTATCCTTTTCAGAGCATTATCGTGTGCTTGGCACGATGTCACTACCAACTAGCGCAATCAGCATCTTCTGAGTTATTTCCTCTTTGCTTATCTTCCACATCTGACTCGTCGACTGCAAGAATGCTGCCCTTCGCTATCGTCTAATTTCCCAACAGAGGGAAGGAGTGAGATGTGACGAGGGGAAATTCATGACTCGTAGCAACTACTCGGTTTTATCTTCCCTCCTCAGTGTGACATTTAGCAAGAGCTAGCTTGTCACCCCGTTATCACGCAGCAGCGTCTACAAAAACCGCTTCCGATGTGAGCGTGCTCTGCTGATATGAACGATGCTAGTGGGTAACATTAGCCACTTTGAGACAATGATAGTGTGCTGCTGTACCTTTTGCTTTCACTGGTTAAACGCACTTTGAATCGCGTGAGCCACATCCTGGAAGTCGGGACGTAATGAAGGCCCTCATTCAGGCGACGAACTTTTGCTAGTTTGTGCTTGTTTTCACTCTCATCGCTGCATCGGCCAACGCGGGGCCTTAAGTGTCGCCTTATCTGCTGTATACAGCACGGGAGATGAACGAAACAATTTACTACTGTTGTCTCCTCTTGCTCTTCCACCTGTTTTTATTGTTCCCCTCTTGGTCTTTATTCCTAACCTCTTTTATAATTGCTAGCATAATCGACAGCAGCCGCAATGCCACTGCAGTTCTGCCCTCTACAGAGACCATCTTGCGCCACCCACTGGACACAGTCTCTTATGTGGTCATGCTGTATTATTTCCCTGGCGGCGTTCAACGTTCACCTACAAGGACAAATAAGTCACCAGGCTGTACTAGCATACATATGGGACACACTGGGTATTGACGTGTGTTGCGTATCCGAAATTAGGATCATTGAACCTCACGAGAATGCGGAATTAAATTAACCCAGCTTATCCTCTCGCATTTGCTTGCACGCATCCGGAGACGCCGATGAAGCACTGACGGGTCAAAATGTGGTAGGCATCGTTCTCAACTCCAAGGCTGTCATTCTTGGTTGATTGGATTTCCGTGGACAATCGTTTGTGTGCCGCCTCTTTGGCAACAACAACTGAAGGGGGTTCATGAAGTAGCGCTACACGCTGCTTGTTTGTCATTGCCGCATGTTTCCCCGCCGAAGATAGTTCCGTTCTTTTCCTCCCCACCCGTATTAATAACCTTCTACTATAATTTCTAGCATAATCGATAACAGCCTCAATGCCGCTGCAATTCTACCATCTACAGCTATCTTCCTCGCCACCCACTTGACGTCCATTGAACACATTCCACCACGAACTGATTACGCTGCTTCGCCGTGTTACCAGTTCACCTCTCATTGTTGTTGCAAGGGATATGAATGCGCGGGTATGTCCTATGTACTCTTCAGATGCTAAGCATGGTAGTAATTATGGACTTAACTCCGACAGGACAGAGAAAGGCGAGCGTCTGTTGCGATTGCGCGGAGCACCTCTTTTAGACACTGGGTGTCGAAGTACTGCTTTGCGTCCCCCTATAATTGACCGGCGATGGACCCCGATAGATCATGTCGTCATAAGCTACAGCTCGCATGGTTCCATCCTGGATTGCCTTTCGTTCTGGAATATCTGCGTCGACTCTGATCCCGCTTTGGTACTATGTCGGAATCGTACCAAGGATCTCCCGCTATCTGCTACTGTGAGCTTATCGTATCCCTCGCTCTGGCAGGCGTAACTGGATGCTCTACATATAGAATTTGACAATCTCTTTTCCTAATGTAATAGGATCTCAATGACGATGCACGACGCGGAACCCTCTCTTGGAGTACTATCAGTCGTCACTTCAACACCCACTGGATATCCGAAAGGCCGGTGAACCTGTGGAGCACAAAAGGAACCTCCCGGCTGGTTCTGAGCACAATGTGAAGAAGCGGTCTATTAGGTGGGAACTAAAGCGGAGCTTGCTTGCTGACAAGGAAGCCTAGTGGATCAGTCGGGCTCAAGAAATAGTGGTGGATGAAGCAGTAGGCAAGTGTCGCAAACTCTTCCAACTGATTTGCGCCACTGGTCCCAGAATGCCGGGCGTCAGTGATACAATCAGCGATTAAGCAGATGCCCTGATTCACACTAAGGAGATCTGACTGGCTGTTTGTGCGGAGCACTTTCGAGGGCCTTTTGATTGGCCAGTCTGCTTTTAGGTCTGTTCTTTCTCGGATGGTATTGGTTGAACCATAACCAGTTAGTTTGAGAGACTCCAGTGGAGGCTGTAGCGACCACATCCTTTAATCGGTTTCGAACTACTGACCCGGATCCCCTCGCACTTGTAGTGAGGTCCTCTGCGAAGTACTGACCTCACTGTTCGCACATTTCTGGAACGAAGGGATAATTGCAGCTAACTGGTGCGCACATAATTGTGACGATATTCAGGAGGTGCGGTTGCGTTGACTGTGCTAACTACAGGGATATTAGCCTAACAGCGGTGGTGACAAACTTACTGGCCTCTATTCTCGTTCGTCGCCTCAGCGCGGATCAGGGAAGGGCAAGTATGTTTCGCTTATGCCGCGGCTGTGCAGGCCACATTCACTCTGTGGCAGAGGCTAGAGCAGCCTCACACATATCGCAGACAAACAAGAGCTGTGTTCCTGGAGTGCGTTCGACTCAGTTGATCGATCCAATCTGTTCGAGGTACTTGCGTGGAAAGTTGTTCAGAGGATATCAGTGACGATTTCTATCGACAGCGCTCACCTCTTTTTCGCTTGGCGAAGAATACTGACATCGTGATTGTTGCTGATGACGTGAATGCCCAAGTGCCAGCCCGTAGCTTTAA